GACATTTATTTTTTTTTTATCAAATTAATTTTTATTATGTATTTGGATGATGATCATGTAAAATTAATTTAATCATGTAATTTTTATCAGTTTTACTTAATTTTATTTTTGGTAGGTGGAAATAATTTTAAAATATTTTTTGACATTTATTTTTGTTAAATTAGTTTATATTTTATCAAATTGACGATTTTGTCTTTAAAATTAAGTAATGATATTTTATCTTTATTTGAAACAAGATTCAAAATTCAAGTCAAATATATTATAATTAAAAAATCAGAAACTAAAGTGACACAGGCCCTAAACAATTGAGGCTATTAATGTAATTTTCCCTGCTTTTAAAACAGGGAGACAACATTCTTGACCCCCAAAAGAAAGGAAGCCTAGTTGGAAAATATCACCATGACTTATTAATGACAATGACATCCCACTTTTTTCATGTGATAATCGCAGCATCACTACTTTAATAGAGAGAGAGAGAAAGAGAGAGAGGTGGAAACTTTCAACGGGATTGTGTTAATCCATGGATATAGAAGTTTTTCAACTCCCTCATGGTGTTATTTTGGAGCCATCTTGCCGCCCATGCATTATGAGTCTCCTCTCCTCTCTAATCAAACCACCATGTGGTCCTATGGATTTTTTTTTCTCTTCTTTTTCTTGGTGTCATAAAGTTGTATTTGGATCAATAATTTAAGTAAAAATTTGTACAGAAAAAAGAAACAATAGAGAAAAATGAATAATATTGAAGTTAAAATTTTATCACATTCCTTTTTTTCCTTCCTTATTTTATAAATTTTCTCAAATCTTAAATTCAAACACAACCTAAAGTCTCAACTTCAATGTTAACTCAATCATCAATGCTAGCTGTCTCAATTGAATTATGGCTCCACATTGGAAAACAGTAAAATTGATCAAAGCAATAGAGTCTATGAACTTTTCTCAAATTCATTAGTCACAATCAAATGGTAAATTATAAACTGTCTTTTTGTATATGTATTTCCTTTTTGGAACCAAGTACAAAGATTACTACAGTTATTGTTTGACTTGAGTTGTGGTTTATAGTTGAGCCAAGTTTCATTTTATATTTTTCACATCCTTTTTCAAACCCTTTTTGGACCCTTGTGGATGTGAACAAGGGCGGATCTATCGATAGGTAAGTTAGACAATCGTCTAAAGCCTCATAATTGATAAGATTGCTAAATTTTAAGATCCCTTATGCTGTGTTTGGTTGGGATTTTTGGGGTGGGATTTGGAAAAGGAATGAGAAATGTAATCTTATTTATGTTTGGTTATAATAAAAAATATATGGGAAAAGAAAGGGGGTGAGAAATAAATAAAGAAATAGGAGACCTTTTAAGACATCAATTCTATTTTATAACCAACACAACCAAACATAGTTGGGATTTGGAATTCTATAAATTCTTTCTCCTTTTCCTTTCATTTCCATTTCCCTTTCCATTTCCCTTCCCAAATCCCCCAACCAAACAGAGCGTTAATATTACTCTTTTATTTTATAAAAATCTTAGACAAGGTACTAAATTGGCGAAGTCTAAATGTGTGTTATTTTTGTGGTTTTAAAATCTAAAAATCTAAAGCCTCACATGGTTAAACGAAAAAAATGAAATCTTGTGATATTGTTCCGTGCTATTTCAGATAATTAATTGTATCTGACTCTTAAAGCTATACTTGTTTTGATTCAGATTGTTAACAAATCGACAAGCTAAAATATTGTTTCGTGCTATTTTTATATAGATTTTTTTTTTTTCCCCTCCATATGCAACTTTGAGTTCTTCTATTTCCAACAGGCATGAAAATAGCTAGTTACATATTTTTTTTGGAATGGGATGGGGTCTCACGGATTTAAACTACAAATATGGTCTCTTCGCATGCAAGAGTAAGATTGCATACATCTAATTTTTCTCAAACTCTGCAAAAGTGAAAGTATCTATACTGAGATTGCCATTGTACTATAGTGCCCCTTCTGCAAAGAAAGATACATTCAGTTCCCATTTTTAAAAACAATGTCACCCTTTGGAGTTTTCATTTAAATCTTGTATATCTTATATCATGGGCAACCTGGAACCAGTATGCCATACTGGATTCATTCCATGTTAAAACCTTACATTTGTGTGATCCAATGCCAAATCTCAATAGATCGTGATAGCACAGTACATTTTGTACTTGTTCACATCAGTAATTCTATGTACCTTAAAAAAAAATTTAAAAAATCTAAAATTTGAAATGTGTGTATCAGATTCATTTTGGGTAGGTCCCATACTGCTAAGTTTAATTCCACGTCGTACATATCTTGTAAATAAAGAATCTGAGTATGGCATTTTCAGTGTTCACACTCAATAATTCATACACAAGCCTTCTATGGAGTTTTGAGCTCTACCTGTTGTCAAATAAACAAGAAGAATACCAAACAAGATAACAAGAAGAATCAATCACAAACAAAAAAACACAACACATATACGTGGTTTAACAAGATCCAATATATTGCAAAAAACAAAAGGGTACAAATTGGCTGTGTTCGTGTAGACAACAGTATATATGTTAGGGTTTACATCAACAGATTACTGCAATAGCCTTAGTATTCAAAAAATAAATCACTAACTTCATGGTAAGGTGTACAGTACTAATAAGACTTTACAAACCAAACAATACCCTAGTTAGAAACAAGTTTGAATTTGTTCATTTGAAATGGGCGATTCTATTTCATTTTTATTTTTTAGTACAGATGGCAGAGGTAAAGACATGAAAAAAAATTCCCAAAATAGAGTTGTGTAGGAAGAGAGTGTTGTCATGAGAAATGGGAACAGTCCAGGGTGAAAATTGCATTGGGCAAAGGGACTGTTCTTAGTTTAATGTGTGAAAACAACAAAGACTCTTGTCTTCTCCCCTTGTGTGTTGCAGTGGATTGAGAGCTCTGTTTTGATGGTAGTTGGTAGGGCAAAAAATGTTCTTCCCATACCCCTTGAGATCCTTATCCAATATTGTGGAAAGGCAATGAGGCAAAGCTTAACACATCATTTTTGTATACTTGTTTACCTTGTCTTCTTTAGCATTCCAATTTTTTTTTTTTTTTTAATTTATTAAACAATTTTTTGACTACATGGAAGACTCCCATTGTTGTACCTGACAATTAAAAATGAGAAAAAGAAAAGGTGGGTGGATCTTAGAATTTTATTTTAATATTCTAAATTGATTAGAGCATGCTTATCTTTTTTTTATATGTTTTCAATTTGACTCAATAGAATAAAACCAAATTTTCTACAGGAGGTGGGATACAGTCATACACTTGGGAATAGTCAGTGAATAAAGAACTGGGAAATACTAATGACAGCTCAAGTGGTGGTCATTATCCTCAATTCAATAGATGTGAGAATGCATTTAAGGAATGTATGGAAAACAATTTGAGATAACAGAGAAAAAATAAATGCATAAAAATTGTTAAACTGTACATACAAACAGAAATATATGATTTATGTGGTTTATTCCAAAATTGAGACTACACTCATAGACATTGTGGTTCTACTATGATAAGTAAAGATTACACAAGAAATACAAAATTAGGATAATATCTCATATGTTCAAAAATATCCTGAATCTAAATTCAGATAGGAACAAGTCCCCCAAACCTCCACCTTTAAGTAATTAAGGTTTTGTACTTACTACAATTCACACTATCCCAACACTTCTATTTAGGCATTTTTCTCACTTTAACAACAACTTACATGACCTAAAAGAAGATAAAATTAAAACACATAATTGTGGATGACATCAAAGTCCAATGACAGTATCAATGAAGACAAGGTTGGAGAAGGATAGGGGGGGACAAAATACTAACATAAAAGTTACAAAAATGATTTGAATAATAAGATCCTTCCAGATGAGATAAAGAGGCTATATTAAATTAAATGAGGCATGTTGCAATGGGTCAGGAAGATCTCAGGCAGGATCTCTAGACATTTTTTAGATAGGGTCATGAATATGCATATGATTTATTCCAACATCAACTTTGGCATTTCATCCTCATCATCTGTACTCTTGATATGATTGCCCATCACTTCATTAAACCCTAAATTTTTTTGATTCAATTTTTATGAGAAGTAAAACTATCAGGATTGGAACCCTTGTCTGGACACTGAGAGACATTGAAGGTCTTGTCTATATTTAGAGCTCAGAGTCATTTAGAAGTTTCGAGTCGTGTTTTTCAGTTTTGTCCAATATATGAGGCCAGCAGATGGTCGCATATATTTCAAGTTTGCACTCCTGGAATGGTTCCAAAGAGCCCCGCCTAGTAGCGTTTTTTCTTATTTAAAAAATAAAATAAAATAAAATAAAAAGGTAAAGAGGTTCTCAGTGTAGATTTACAGAATCTGACTTGATTAATGCATACAACTTAACCTGTGCTCGCTGGACCATGTTCTTGGAGAATGCTGATCAATGAGGGCCTCCCTGTTCTCTTTTACTCAATGTAGTTCCAATCATATAAGGTGGTGAGAATCTCAAAACGAATTGAATCGATCATTTGCCTAGGAGTGCATTGGATACAAAAGGAATAAAGATTTTGGACACAGCAAAAAAATGAGCTATGAACCTCAATGTTTCTCTAATAAGGGCATCCATGTTTCCTTGTACCCAATACTCCTCTAGGCAGAGAAATCTCAAGGTTTGTAGCACATTTTTTCTATTGTCTAATGTACTCACAGCCAAATGATCGATTCTCATATCTTGAGATCCTCACTATATTATCCTTCTTCTTTTCTCTCCGTAAACGCCTCAAAATTTCTATCGAAACACATTAAGTCTTAGTATTGGGAATTAGGTTCACTTTTGCAGAGTTTTGATTACTTTGATAATTTCTCTTTTTTTTTTTGAGTCTTGAAGTTTTGAAACAGAATGAGCATGGGGCTCCATGAATAACAACGCATGATGGGCATGGTTGCACAGACAGAGGCTGCTCAAAAGACTAGACACTGATATGTAGCCACTGTTCATTGACAAGAAAATTAAATTCTCATAAACAGGAAATTTATTTCACACTTTTGCTCTATCAGGTTGTTTCCCAATGCATTGACAGCAAAAAGAAAAAGAAGAAGAAAAAAGAGAAGAAAAGAAAAGGAAAAAGAACAAGATCCCTTTTGAGATCCAATTCCTTTTGCTTTGACAACCCTCACCCACCCACCACTTCTTCTTCCTCTTTCAAAGCAACTTCTACAACGTGAACAGTCTGCATCTGCATCAGCATCAGCAGCAGCAATGGTTGTGACCATCTCCTCATCTCATCCCCATCTTCCCTCCAAACCACCTGTAAAGAAGGAACCGTGAAAGTTAGATTATTACAAAATGAAGATCTGTGAGACAAGAAAAAAAAAAAAAGGAGAAAAAAAATAAACAAGAATTGCAAATCACACGCATACACAAAAATACAATGTTTACGTAGCAAGGCCTACGTTCACCGTTTCTACAGTCTCACTATAATCAGAAAGAGTTACAAACGAAATATAGAGATGGTCGTCCCCTTTCAACTACCTATACATATAATTAGTGTACAATATATATCAGGATCCATACTACTACCCAACAGGCACAATGCATGAGACTCCTACTAAAATGGAGACTCTGGAGGACAAGATCCCAAATTGAGAAGAAAAAAAAAAAAAACCAATATATGATTTGTAAATCACTTTAATTTGCTATCAAAACACTGACACACTGTAAGTACTAGAAGTGAAAATACAAACTTAACTGGTTTTGCTGTAATTGATTTGCAGAGAGTGGAGACTGAAAGAAGCCAAAAGGCTCATGAAATGCAGATCTCCCCTGCAACAATATGATCCAATAATTGGCTTAGATCAAAGAAAATAAATAACACCCAAATCATGAAATAGACTAAATAGTAAATACCTCAAAATGGGTTGCAGAGCACCCTTCTGAAAACTCCAAGATTTTCTCCATTGAAGAAGCTTTGTTGTTGTTGTTGTTGGTGGCGGTGGTGAGTGTGAAATTTTTCTGTCAAATTTTCAAGAACCACTACTGTTATTCCCAAGAACAATAAAATGGTTAGTTATTTCAATTGAAAAAACAATATTAAAAAAAAAAAATTCAATAGAAACAAAATGTTTCCAATTAATTTACCTGGGATGATAAGTTGAAGATAGGAGAGCTAGCAGTGTCATCAAGGAAAGAAGGGTGTTCTTCGTCGTTCCGACGCCGATTTTCTTTGATTTTCTTTCTCTTTCCACTGTTATTTGGCAATGTGGGTTCAATGGGTGGATGATAGAAAAACCCATTGTCAGCATTTCCATAGTATTCATCTTCATGAAAAACTGGTGGCCCAGAAGATGCATCAGAAACCATTGATAAATCCTCTTCCTCATTCTCATCACTGTGAGTGTGAACAGACCTTCCATCAACTAACTCATGGGCTCCTCCTCCATGGGAGGGATATGGAGGAGAGAGAAAAGAGTGTTCTAAGAGGAGTGTCCAACCAGACTCACAACCACTGCTACATTCTGAAGCTAACATATCATTCATTGTTTGTAGCCTATGTGAAAGATGATCTCCTCCCAAGTGGCTTCTCTTCTAGCTATAAAGCCTTCTTTATCAAGAAAGGGAGATGAATCAATAGATTGGGTTGGGTTATGAAGAAACACACACTACTCTTGCTAGTGAAAGCTTTGTGTGTCTTTATATTCCCCCCCACCCCCCAACCAACCCAAAAAAAAAAAAAAAAGGTCCGTATCTAGAAAAACTTAATCTGTCACTTGAAATTTAAAAAAAAAAAAAATCTCAAAAAATATTTATTGTAAAATGTCACAATTTCTGGCTTCATTTGGCTATGGTTTAAAAACTAGCAGTTAAAAAATTCATTTTTTTTTTTTTTAAAAAAACTCAATTGATACTTATTTTTGTCCAAAAAAATCCACTTTAACTAGTTTAAAAGACCTTAGAGAACGTAACAAGGGAAGAATGTGTCAAACAAAATACTTTAGTGTTTTTTAGTATTAATTTCTTTTATAAACTTCTTTTAACCCCAAATACATTAGTTTTTTAGTTAACTCCCAAATGAAATTATAGACAAAATAAAATAAGGTCTCATTTTAATAATTTTATTATAAAATTATTTGCAAATAAAAAGTAAATATATTATATAAATTCATCCAAAATAAATCTTAGTTTATTTATTTATTTTTATTTTTATTTATTTTTTGAAATGTGATCTTTATTTATATTTAGAGAGCTGAGGAAGTAGGATATGGGATGAGACAACAACAAAGGAAATCAAAGAGTAAAATCCTAGACTAGTTTTGTCTGACTTAGAGCATCTGCATCATGCATCAGCATAGTCAAAATAATAAAAAGGTAAAATATAACTAGTAAATCACAAAATTATTCCTCCACCAGGCTTAACAATTTTTTTGTAAATTAACTTTTTGCTAAATTTACTACAGTACCTCAACAATTTTGTTGAGACACTGTTCATTAGTTACATGATTTTTTATTATATTTTTTGAAACAAAACAGGGCCAAAATCTTTAAACCAGTCGTTCACCTGGATGTCCTCCCGGATATCCCACCGGATGTCCCGTGAGTGCCTGTAACAGAAGAAGAAAAAATATCGAAAATTAGTCTAACCGGTCAACAGCAATTTTTTTTTTTTTAGCATTTTTTTTTTTTAAGAATTGTTCGGATGACACCTCATCAATTTAATAAAAAAATAAAGAATAATAAATACAATAAGAAATTAATATTTTAATAAAATTGAGTTAGAACAGAGAATTTAATACAGTGAGTGCTAAAAAAGTGACTAACTAAAATAATAAAAATAAATTTTAAATTATAATTTGATTTAAAATTTATTGTGATTGATGCGGATGCCCTTATCATCATCCCCATAAGGCTTTCTCTGTCTCTGTATGTGAATGAATGAAAGCTACCAGTTGGGCTGGGGTTTTTGTGGGTGTGTCATGTTTGTATTTGTATGCACGGGCGTATAGATTGTAGATGAAAGAGAGAGGGGGGTGGGGTTTATAGGAGTAAGGATAAGAATACTAAATTTTTTATTAAATAAATAATTAAACGTCTCATATAAATAAATACATCTCACACATATATAAAATATTTTATCATGTATTTAATAAAAATGTAAGATTTATATCATTTTCCGGATTTATGCTGGTCACGGGATACGTGTCTAAATACTGAGGAAGGGAAGATGGAGGTGTACCCGTTTTTGTTAAGAACGTACTCACTGCCGCGCTGTCTTCCATGTGCTTCAGTTGTGGCTAAGTTCCACCCTCTCTCTCTCTCTCTAAGTTTGTTTTTGTTTTTTGTTTTTTTAACTCTCCAAGTTGGCGGAAAATTATTAAGTATTTTTATAATATTATGTGATAATTTTATCAATAAAAAGTTATAATACATATTAAATAAGTCATTATGTTTCCTAAAAATAGTGAGTCAGTATTTTTTATCATAATTTTTTTGTTACATTCTTAATTTGAAATATTATATAAATAATATCATATAATATTCAAAAATTATAGCGAATACCCCCATTGTGGTTTTCCTTTTACAATTTGACACTTTCATTCGCTTCTACCCTACTTTCATTTTCATACACTTTCTCGTCATTTACAACCATATAAATCATGTTAACAAGTTTTGCCCTACTAGAAAAATGTTATATTTTAAAAAAAATTATAAAAAAATCCATGATTGCAATTATGTGATATTTTTACAAAATTAAAGGTTCGTTTGGTTTGTATTTCTGAAAAAAATTTGGGAAATGTTTTTTACAAATAAATTTTTAAAAGTAATCAAACCAAACAAATTTTTCCAAAAAAAATTCTCAAAACTTGTAAACCAAACAAGTTTTCCAAACAAATCTCTCTCACACACACATCAAATCAATCTCTTTTTCCAAAACTCTCTCTCAAAATAATTTTCCAAATCATCATTTGAAAAAAACCAAACCAAACAACTTTTCGTACTTCTTATCTCTAAAACACATCTCTCAAACACAAACCAAACATAGCCGTTATATTTTAAAAAAAATTATAAAAAAATCCATGATTGCAATTATGTGATATTTTTACAAATATAAGTCATTTTCATGAATATTATTTAATAATTTCAAAATATTACATGATATTATAACATTCCAAATCAATTACATAGTTCAAAATTTTACAGTAAAATATGTTGACTCCCTTTGTTAGACAATCATGAGATCCATCTATCATATCATTCTTTAATATATAATTTTTTTTTTAATTTTATAGTATTATTCTAACAGTTATAAAACAATTCAAATGGTGCACTTCCATGCTAAGGGCTATTTTGAGAACTTGGCTAAAAGTCACTTTTTTTGGTTTTTTTTTTTTTTTTTTTTTTTTTTTTTATTCCAAAAAAAAAAAAAATCTCATAATTAAGACGAGACCCACGGTACGAGACTCATCCTTATATGAAACTTTCAATACATTTTGTACAATAAATTTCTTTACATTTTTCTTTAATCAAGCACACTAATTTTTATTTTTCATTTTATTTTTTATTCTTTAACTTTATAAAGATGAGATTGAGTGTGAATCTTATTCCTCACATCCCTATTTTGAAAAAATAATCATAATAATTTTACAAATAAACTCTTGAAGGTACTTTCCCATCCAACAAACACATGAATTCCGTGAAGTCGTTATACTTGTAAGAGCAGAACTTCAATTTTTTTGTCCAAATGTCACATCTAATAATAGCACACTTGCTACTGTCCAAAGATATTTTATTGCAATTGTATCTTTGTACTAAAAATCTCTTATACATATTCAAATAGTGGTGCTATTTATTAAAAAAAATTATTCAAAAAAATAATGTAGAATTTAAAATTATTCTGATTGGGATCCATAAAAAAAGTTTAAATTTACACCATTAATTCATATTTGGATAGTTTTCAAGATTCGTAGCATTTTATTATTTCAAAATGCTCATTACATAAGGAATATAGATTTTTACTGTTGGAATGGTTATAAAATTCTGGATAAAATCAGAATTTTTTCCTAAGTTCAATTAAATCTTTTTAAATACAGTGAAGATTGTCCTACATTTACTACATAGAATGATTAGCCTGCATTAGGACACATATCTAACGAAAAAAATAAGTATTATAGAAACAAATTTTTTTATACAAAAATAAAAATTTAGGTCATGTTTGATTCACAAGACTAATAGCGAAATATTAATAATCTTATAAAATTAGTGTAGCATTTACTATCTAATTAGATTAATATCCATTGGATTAATAATCCCACCCCTACCCTATTACTAATAATCCTACAAATTTGTTGGATTAATTATCCATTAGATTAATAATTCTAAACCAAAATATTAAAACAAATATAGGATAATTGAGCCCACGGATTAATAATACTAATCCCATGCTCTAATCCACCCAATCAAACATGCCCTTAGAGTATATAGTTTCTGAGATTATAAACTTGAGTGATGGTCGTTTGCTGGCAATTGGTAGAACATGGTGAACCGAATTATTCTTTATAATTTTTTTTAATATACAGTATTAGTCTTTACAAAAATATATATATATATATTTGTTTTTATGGAGTAAATTATACTACATTCCCTTAAATTTTATTAAAAAAAAATACAAGCAGTCCCATAGTTTTAACCATAATTATCACTACAAAAAATTAAGATTTTAGAGACCAAAGTTTAGAGACAACATTATTTTTTAGGGACCAAATATTTTTGTTGTGAAAAGTGTCGTCATTATATTTTTAGCAACGAAAATTGGACATTAGTGATGAATTATTATTATTTTGGGACACAATTTTTTATCTCAAAAAATAAATCATTTTGAGACTAAATTATTTTGTCCCTAAAAAACTATTTATTAGTGACATTTTCAAAATTTTATCGCTAAAAGCCTTGTTTTTTCCTTTTCAAAACGACCTTTTGGTGACTATCTTTACGATGATAGAAATTGGTCCCTAAATGTCATTTGTAACAAAATTTTCACTTATAGAGACAAAAAAATTTGATTTCTAAAACTCTTATATGTTGTAGTATATACTCAAAAAATAAATCATTTTGAGACTAAATTATTTTGTCCCTAAAAAACTATTTATTAGTGACATTTTCAAAATTTTATCGCTAAAAGCCTTGTTTTTTCCTTTTCAAAACGACCTTTTAGCGACTATCTTTACGATGATAGAAATTGGTCCCTAAATGTCATTTGTAACAAAATTTTCATTTTTAGAGACAAAAAAATTTGATTTCTAAAACTCTTATATGTTATAGTATATATTGACCTTCCTTTTAATAATATTAAAAAAATCAAAACTAATATAAATAGTAATATAAAGCCATCAAGATTGTTGGCATATAAATTTTAACTAAATTTAAAGAAACATTTCATGCTTCAAAATTTGGTTAATTATAACTAAATTATAGGAGAATTTAATATGATTATGTTAAAATTATAAGACTTGTAATATTTATTTTTTAATTAAAAAAATCAGTATAATTTTTTTTTTCTTTATACTAACAAATTTGAATAATAATCCTTTTAGGGTGTAAAAATGTGTTGTTTTTTTGTTGGTAGTAATAATACAATAATTTATATAGTTTGTGGTAGTGAATGAAATAGTATCAGACATTAGTAATAGGTGTAATTCTTCTACCG